TCAGATCCCCTAATAATGATTCATCAAGGCAACGCCGGAAAATGACGGCTAAATCGGCCATTGGGCTGAACGGTGACCTACACAGAGCAGGCCTCAAACGTTGGTGACACTCGAAAACCATACTCAATTATCCGCATAGCTGGTAGTAAGCCTTCGACACTGAGCGACTCTTGGCGGTGCGAATGGCGGCTTTAGTACTGTCAACTCGACCAAGGTCGATCGTTGGCGTGAGCACTTGGAGCACCTTCTCAACTTTGATGAACAACCCATCACATCCTCGCTCGTCTTTGTAGCGGAGTTTTATCCCTCTTCAGTCTACGATGTCATGCTACCCCCTTCTGACGCAGAAGTCGCTAATGCAATACAAAGGCTGCGCAACAAGGCATGCGGACACAACCGTATTCCGGTCGAAATTCACGTCTTGTGTCGACATTCTGGCGCGCTGGTACCATGAAGTGATTAAACAAGCATAGAGAGATGAGGTCGTCCCTGATGACTGAGGCTCGGGAATCCTTGTACTCGTCTTCAAGTAGTGTGATTAGACTAGATGCGAGAACCACCGTGGTATAAGCCTCATTGAAATTGCTGCGAAGGTCTTCACCGTTGTCTTTCGCAGACGATTCTAGGCCAGATTCCAAGCTAGGCGTGGATGTGTCGACTAGATATTCACACTGAAGTGCATTCTCGAATTCCGCCACAGCTACCAACAACAGGAGGTCGTCTGCTTTGTTGACTTCGCTGCTGCGTTCGATTTCGTCCATCGTGAGTCCCGTGGCGAACAATGGAATTAGATAGAATCAGAAGAAGAACAAGAAGAAGAAGCGATCGCTGGGACAAGGTCTTTATTCGCCTGACGTTTCGAATTCTCACTTGAATCCATCATCAGAGACAGTAGCAGATGTCTCTGATGATGGATTCAGGTGAGAATCCGAAACGTCAGGCGAATAAAGACCTTGCTCCAGCGATCGTTTCTTCTTATGATCAACTAGTTCCTGGAACTCGCATCTTCGTTTGTATCGGTAAATTAGATAGCATGCTGACCAAAATCGTTGCCATGATCAAGGCCAAGACTCTTGCCAAATGGACGGAGTAAGGATGACATTGTCTCCCGAATCGATTATGCTCGTCGGTTTTTCGCGATCTTTCGAAAGTGTCTATGGAGCCGACGCGACATCTCCATCGCCACGAAGATTTGCGTGTATGGTGCATCCGCCCGCTCAGTCCCTCTGTACGGTTCTGAATGCGGGGTTGTGCGCGTGGAAGATAAGGGCAAACTGAAGGTACTTGACCACCAGTGCTTAAGGACCATCCTCCGAGAAAAGTGCACCGACTTCGTCTCAAATGAGACAGTCAACACTCGCCGAGACAAGGTCGCAAGGATATCCCAGGCCATTCAATAAAGAGACTGCGATGGTTTGGGCACGTTCTTCTTCGCTCATCTTACGAGGTCAGTTTTGCTGCCCTCGACCGGGCACCGTTACCCACTTGTAGGCGTCGAAGGGGTCAACTCAAAACCCGGCTCGACACAGTCCGGCACGACATGAAAGCGGTTCCTGGACCTTCGGCATTTGGTCTCCATCGCTGGCGAAGAAAATAGGTTGGGCTGTGCAGATCTGCTGCCGCGGATCGCCGCGTGTGAGGAGGTGCAGTCCGTGCATCATTCACGCCGGCTAGATCAGACATGATGACAGTCGTACCAAGTACAAGTACATTGCTTCTCGATACCATTATTAATTCAAATACACTTTATAGAAAACATGCTCAAAATACTCTTGTACTTATTTCGTAGTCAACTGCATATTCTTCTGGTCTTATGCTTAAAGAAAGGGTATCTTTCGGTTTCAAAGTTTTTAATTATGAGATATTCTAAGATTGTGCGGCATTCATGCACAAAGCATCGTATCAGTCCGTTTATCAATGTTCCTTGTAAACTATACAACTTGGTCCACTCAAACCTCAGCATTTTATGAGCCCTATATGACGTCCTCTTTATAGCGTATAGAAACTCATGATTTTCCTTGTAGTTCGGAAACCCTAAATGCAAGTGTAGAAGCCAGTCAAATTCAAACCTATACGGGAATTGAAAATTTTTTAAGACCGAAAGACACTCTTCAAAAATAAAATCCGAAGAAGTGATTTGCTACCGAATAAGCAAACGAATATTTTTGTGCATGTTTCCTATAAGGGTGTCGAAAACCAATGGGAAAAATCCACGCCGTTTAATTAGTCATTTTTTGCCGTGTAGATTTTACAGACAGTCGGGAAGGAGCACATTCGAATGTCGGCATCCTGGCGTGATGAGAATATATTGCACGGCGATTAATATGAAAAGCCTACTTAAGTAATCTTTTCCAATCGGAAACATTCCAGAATTTCAGTTAATATTTCACGAGATAGAACATATATTCTACATAAAGTGAAATCCGGCAACTGCAACGGATATGGTACTTGGACAGCTGAATTATTTATCATCAGACTCTAATAATCAGACGAGAACAAACATGCATACTTAAAGCAATCAATAGCGGCAAAGGAAGAAACCATGGATAATTATCAGCCTGAAGGTCTTTGCTGTGTGTGAGAATAAAACCCAGTGTGAATGGCAGTTGTTACCGGTGACAAAGCAGGGACTGTAGGGATAAGCTACAAGAGTAAAGGCGATCACTACCAAAGAACTAAAATTCACTCACCATGGGTCCAGTGTATTCTACCGTTCCTTTGGGTGGGACAGGAAGCACAGGCTCAAGGCCAACACTGTTGCTACCAGCTGAAGAATGCTCTGCAAAATAACCGCTCACCGCCTGCCGAATGCGGCCAATGGAAATCAGTGGAGGTTGGTCCTGTTGTTGTTGTTGTTGTTGTGTAACGTCTTCGTTCGTGGGAGGGGACAGCTGTAACTGCTGAGATTCGGAGCTGTCGCCACCAGCAATGACAGATCCTGCCACTGGACACGAGATGCCCACGGCGTCGCTGGCTGCCGATACGTCACCTTCAGAAAGGCAAAAAGGGAAAATGTGGGACCAACGGCAACACCGCTAACGCCAGTGAAATGGTTCATTGAGCAAAGTAAACGTACTGTGGTAGCAGAGGAGGCTCTGAGCAACAATGTATAGCAATTAAACAGATAAAAAGGCAATGGGTGAGATGCAGGATGCACGATTTGCCAGAAACATGTTAGTTGCCTGGTATCCAAAACGTCAGTCGTCGAGATTCACGGCGCGGACAACTTTATCACAGAATTGTGATTATATAAATAACTGACCAGAAAATAAACCTGGCCATGCCAGACCGGACGCATTTCAATTTCACTGCGTTGAACCACTTGGTCTTTACAGACATTTCCGATACCTCCCCCTCTCCCTCCCCCCCCCCCGTAGACATCTATTAACCTGACACACCAACCACGTTCACACCCGAAATGGGATCAGCTGCACACTTGCTCGAACATGGTGAGTCAGCAGCCGACAACGGCTGCAAGGATAGCACTGGTCATGTTCCTATGAGGGTTCGACTTAGGTTCAGAATGGGATAGTATGTCGAATAAATCGCTTCGCTTGACTGAAGGCCAAGATCGCAGGACAAGGATCAGGGTCTATGTGAATGGTGAGGAGAGCAACTCTGCAGTCCGCCAAGGCTGCATTCGTGAGTGAAGTTTGTTTAGCTACGTGAGATACCGGCCCCTTCAACACGCGCTAATAGACCACCCCGGTGTTACCTCACGTCATGACTAACGTATTGCGGACATTGACTACACTGGTGAAATTGCGGTGCTGACAAAAGAGATCACAGAAATGCAATTCGCTCCGCCCTGGATAGGCACTGGGGGAGCCTATGAGACTAAAAATCAACAACTCCAAACAGGTCAGGTAAAAATTAAATCAACCATCAGGTCAGCTAGGAGCGTGCGGCTTTCGTCAAACGTCGTCCAAATCTCAGAAATCAGAGTAAAATCTGAGAACCAAGTTCTGAGTGGGAATACAGGGCTTCTGTCAAAGCAAAGCCTTCATGTTGGCGAGACATGTTCCGCGATTTCGCATGATATACACCGCCTGGAATCATTCGATTTACAGTGCTTGCCCTCCATTCTCCAAATTCGTTTCTATGGCAGCGTCTCTAACGCATGAAGATATCGTCGGTTGGGAAGACAACCTGTCAACTGAGTCCTTTCTAATCAACTAATATGATGGTTTGACGATGCTCTGCGCATGCACGAGGAAGAAGGCATTCGGGACGACATGCCGCTCAAGCTCCATGATATCTGGGGCTGCCAAGTGAATTTGAAGATAGTGCGTTCTACTGAAGTGACTATCAGATCAACGGATGCGGTGATGAGGTTGCAATAGTTATCAGGGAACTCCCAGCCAACCTGAAGAGCATTAAGAACCGACTCATTACAATGACGTTCCCACTCTGTGGAAAGTAGTCAGTGCAAAGGCCGACGGTTCCACAATGGCAAGACGCGACGATGTGGGGAAAAAAACCTACAATGACATTCCCTTCTTTTTCTGTGCCTAAGACGGACAAACTCATCCCCGGAGAATTAAATGAGTGAGTGGCTGCAGACCCTATAATGCATAAAGGAGTACTCAGTCATCATGACGTCGGGAGCCGAATCTTCGAAGAACTCCATCTGCTAAAGACCTGCACTGTAATCGGTCTGCTTATAAGTCTCTAGCTTCGCCAGCCGGATGAAAGTAACTTAAATGCGCAGATGTTTGCGTCACTCGTTAACACTGTGATGTGTGGCAGTGAGCAGAGATCGACGGAAGGTGATGAAAAAGGGGATGCGCGCTGACGAATTCAGGACACCCACAGCCTATTTGGCCCTAAAATGACATTGTGGATTTGACTACGAATACGGTCTCGGAGCAAGCAAACGATCAAGAATCTGGAGGCTGAGCTTCAAAACAACACCGAACTCAGTCGTTTGCCGGATCTCGTGCAGTTGTGGGCAAAGCAACTAGGGCGGAGAAGCCGAGAGACTACTCCGGACGCGGTTGGCCGAGCACTATCCCTTATCTGACTCTGTCTCCGATGATGGATTCGATTGAGGACCGAAATGTCAAGCTAATAAAGCACTTGTTCCAGCGATAGTGTCTCCTTATCCGCGACTACTTCCTGGAACTCGCCTCTTTGCTTCTATTACGGAACTCAGGGAAACATTGGTCAGCAGGATGAAAAATATGATTGCGTAAATGCACATCAAAGAAGATGACGAGGTGTAAAACAACTGGAGGGCATTGCAAGACGCAATCAATCCTACTGCAATGGAGATCCCGGAATGTGCACACATATGACCAGGTTTGGAGTAAAGATCCAGCATCTATTAGGTGGGAGTAGAGAGGATTAAGGGATATTTTGGCCCAGGTGAAATAAAAAACTTGACAGTTGAGAAAGTGATTTACGTCTTACAACCCACCGGGACTTCACCGCTGCCTAGCACAGGTCGCGAAGCTGAGAAAGTTCTGAGCGTTCCGAATGGCAAAAGTAAATCGGTTGAGGCGCTCAACAGACTGTCTCACAAGTTGGAATCAACGCTTCCTTAAATCTGCCGCCATTTCTGCAGGAGGTAGAGAACTCCAAAAACAGTCAACGAAGAAGAACCTAGCATCGACCTCATTCCTGCTCCAGCCAGCGTCATCTAGCAGATATCCTGAACAAATAACTACTGTCAACAGTCATTGGCCTCTGATGGTGGGCGAGCTTTATTGCCTGAAGAATACAATCTGGAGATGTATCATAACCAGCGATGACGAAGAACATTGGATCTTCGAAGCTAATTGAGATGTTAACGAGATATCACCCCAAAATTCCGAAGTGTTGTAGAATGCTCCTCAACAGAAAGTCGGGGCGCACGATCGTTGCGCTGAGTAGGGTTAGTCTAAGAGCCAAGATGGTAGACCCAATTGTTCCCACGGCAGCCGGACACCAAGCCTATTGAATTAACGGAAATGCTCAGCATTTATGCAACCCCGATGCAGATTTAATTTTTATGCGATCTTTGAAGCGAGAGAAAGAATTTGTAAGCATAGCACCCGATGCAGGAACCAGAGCAACAACTTTCAAAGCTTATCAAATACAGAGGAAGCAGGAAGAAAGAGAAGAATGCAAGACCGTAATGTCAGCATTCAACCCCACACATACATGCGTCCATTTCAAACGCAAACGCAAGGCGCATATTAGGCTGGTAAGACGTGGCCGCATCCGTCAAAAAGATGGGAGGGATGATGTCAATAAAGAAAGTCAGCGTTGAACAAGCCCTTAGTACTGGGTAATAAAGTCTGAGGCGACTGGAATAGGAAATTTTGAGTTCAACAACGCGTCACTAACCCTACCTCTCGGTTTAATTCTCTACCAATGATTAGTAAAAGGCAACTTCGAAACCTTCAGATGCACCGCAATGTCGGCCGCCAAGACTAACGAAAAATCTCCCAGAAAGAAGAAAATTAGAAGAAGATCGCCATATTGATTATGATAGGTGAATTATCATGGGTGGGACTGACTTGTATGGGCGTTTAAACAGGACATGGAAGAAGAACGTCCCGCCCAAGTAATAAAGGCGGACCTGCGCATAATTCTAGAAAGGGCAAAATATTCCTGTGTCCTAACCCCAACAACAGCCCTACTACAAAACTAAACCGTAGCCCTAGTCTTAGCCCTAACCCTAACCTAAACCTTAGCTCTGCAGTCAACGCTAGCCCCTACATGAACCCCAAACTGGATCCTGGCTTACGTTACCATTAACTTTAAATCTAACCCTAAACCGTCTACTTAACTTAACCCTAACCCTTACCTTAAATCTAACCCTAATTTCACTGTAAGTTGACTCAAAGCCGTCCATGTTGCAGGCGGTTCCCGTTCTCATGTCCTACTTATGCGCCCACATAAGTCAGTTCTACTCTATCATGCGCCTGGCTAACGAGTTTTCGATGCCTCTAATCAACACTATAGTCGTAATTACCGTAGTTCCAAACCTTCGCATACGTGTGAGGTCCAGAAATATTTATAAACGGTAAAATCTAACAAAAATGGAGTGAGATGGTTAACCGGTATCAGGTGCGAGAGTAAATAACACGGTTCACTCACAAAAGTGGACTTGTGAGAGGAAATAATTGTCCATGTGGACGCCATTTGATGATCACATCATGAATAATCACCATAGCCAACTTTTTCTTCACTCATCAGCCTTCGACGCTGTCGTGCAACACTCAAACAAGGTCTCTTTGGTCATTTTTCTACCCGCATATATAAAAATCTGGGAGCTGAGCGCCCGTTTAGGGACTCTTTAGTTGAACGTTTTGAGAGCGAACTTCGTTAGAAGAGCAAGTCCTTGGTCTGGGATCTTCACCTCATAAGAGGAGGTGCACATCTTCAAAAAGGTAATCTCAGTAAAGTAACGGTGTCTGTGAAATGGTCAAAACCATTACTGATTCTATTGAGTCATCATCAAGATCAGGTAACAGATTGGTACGGAGTAATAGCAGCCAAAAATCTCGCCTGTGGAGATATCGAATAGAAAATAGAGCAAGTCGCAAAGACAGACGACTCAAGACAGGCATGTTTTTTAAGAAAGGTAGTTGAGTCTACCATGTACTTTTTTGAAGAGGATAAGAGTTTGTTCATCTTAACTTAAACGTGTGCCTGATTGCCTGATGTTTTGTTCAATCTTGCGACGGCTTTAGCGAACAAAGACCGACAATTTTTGACTAGCAGTACATGCATTAACTACTGAAATGGTACAAAGAATGGCTGCCCGACCAATCGAACGCGCATATAACTTCGCTTAAATACCACTGGCCAGAGATAGACGACTTGCGTGGGGTTTCAGCTAACAAGCGGTCGCTTTCTTGTATTGTAAAACAAGAATTTCAGATTTTGCTCTTCACTGCAGACTCGATGTTGTGTTGACGCATTGACTGTGTGCGGAATCAATCCTTCAACATTTAACGAATTAAGTAATCAGCAACGCAAGACACGGATGAAATGGTGCCCATCTCAGAAAGAAGAATTTCTTTTGTGCCCTCCGGTACAGCGCTAGCTATACCCAATATGGATCCAGCCCAGTCCAATCCTAAAACAGAATGTGTCATTTTAAAAAGCCAAAGCGGTTCTAGTATGCGTTTGCGATGATGGCAATGCTACCCAGCGTGATCTCTTTCAATCATTAACTCGTGGGCTGCTTAAAGGTTCGCACAACCTCCGATTGTGGTTTATCATTGATAGTTTCCTAAACAGACCGAAAACTGTGTTCGGTCCAAAATCTGCGAGATCTCTGCTTTCCTCAGTACGAATTGTTAAGATCTTGACACGAAGGCCTGGTATATCAATTAGTAAAGGCGATTAGGCAATGTAGTCCGAACTGGTCATTAAGTAGTACAAATGAAGGGAGGACTAATCAGTCTGCTTACAAGGGAGACATGGCAAAGATGGTCAAATGAGAGGGAGGAATCACCTCTGCTAATGCCGACTCTCGGCCCCAAAGACCTCATTATGACCAGCATCTGACGATTCGTCTTCCTTCGCTGAACGCGCTGCCTGTATTGCCGAGAAATGACGGCGCCTTGGGAACAGACTCTAGCGCTACAGACTATCAGGTGGTACACAACAGATCTCAGGATTGATGAGCCCATAAGGCGTCGGGTACCTGTAAGCGTAGACAGTGGGAGCATGATTTTGGTGTTAGGTAAGACGTCCGCGGAGAAACTGTTAGGGGAAGTGTTACGTCAGGGAAAATTTTGCAAATATGACGGCGTGCGTGTGTTTATACGTTCGCGTCCTTAGCGCGAACCCAAAAGCGAACTCGATGAGGCCAAAATGGAAGCCCACCCGTATGTGTAGGAGAGGAATAAAAAGCTTGAGGTCCAATGAGCTGGCGTAGGAATGAGTACGATCAAGGATAAGTGGCAAGTGGTTAAGGAAGCGCAAAAAATTGAAGTGCTGCGTGACATCGCGCCTGTAAGACATACGTACATGACAGGATAGAGAACCATCACAGGTGGAAGTTCGACCCGAAAAATGAAGTTGAGACCATACCTGAAGTCTGGGGTATCGTGTTCCGCATATCAAAAGTGAGGTCTCCAACGCCAAAATCCATGCCGGAGGAACCTGACTCGCTGGCGCCTGAGAGTTCGCTGCGGTCTGCAACGGTGACATTTGGTGAATCTCCAGTGCTTGTGTGTAGTCTAGAAATGGAAAAATAGAATCGTCGAGGGGCCCTCACCGATCGCGCTGCGGAACTCGCTCGTCCCGTTGTGCCTTAGGGTTCTCTCTCGAGCCCAACTAGCAGCCGCACAGCGGCACGCGTTATATGGGCACAATAGCATTACCGACAAAGACAAGGGAGACTGGGATGACCATTTCTGGCTTGTTAACCGTTTCAGCCAGCCACACCTAATCCCAAGGTGTGCAACACGTGGGGCTCGACCTAGCGACCTGTTGATTAGAAGTCCACTGAGCTCTTGACCATTGTATACACCCGATCGCAACTGACAGGACAACGAGCGCGTGGCTCAATTGTTATGGCGCTGGACACCTAGCCAACAAGTCGCGGGATCGAGGCCCAGGTGTTGCCCACCTTGGGATTGGGTATGGCGGGCTGGCGACAGCTTATAAACCAGAGATGGCCCTTTAAGTCCCCTCTGTCTTCATATACAATGTTATTTTGCCTAGAAAAGATAGTTTTAGGTGCGCATATCAAAGCTTTCCGGGAAAGTGTGATGCTCCTGGGGGTTAGATAAACAATTTCGTGTGCCCAGAAGCATAGACGTCACATATAGTACCTAAGACGTAAAAATTATCGGACACTTCAGGTTCGTCATGACGACTCTATAGACAATTCACTAAGAAAACTGGATTGTAGAGGGATACTCTAAGGTGGCCACTGGTCTAAAATTAACATGTCCGAAACCACTCTAAACAAAGAAAGCGTAACAATAATTTTCGTTCTGACAACATCTCGATAAGCTTTGTCAAGGATAATCGAGGATGACAGGGCTCCAGAGTGAGCATTGTGGTGAAAAGTACGGTGTCCCAGCCATTAAACAACGGTACCGGCGTTCCAATGGTTTTTTATACTTTGTGAGGACTCAAAAGTATGTGCATGACGGACACTATACGGCGAAAAAGCAACTACATGTCATCGGTCATACCAGCCTTGCATAACAGTGTGAGAGGCAAGGATAGGTTGGACATTCGATTGGAAATAGCCACAGTTGATAGATAAAGATGTAGTTTGCTATTAATTACCAGAAACAATGAGAAATAAGGTAAATCACTTAGTTTAAAAATTCCACCTGCTAAGCCCGTTGCAGCCTAAATAGTTGTAATAGCATTTCCAGCATGCTTCTGTACTTCTGAACACCGAAAAACACAACTAGGGGGAGGAAATAAAGTTTGGTATGGGATGCCCAGAGGAAATAATGTGGTATATACTCACTGATATGCTGATATGTTTACGTTGTCCAAAGCTGACCACTTACACTTCTTAGCGGACAGGCATCGCAGGAAAGGTAGAATTTGGCCAGAAAAATAAGTATTTAAGGATATAATTAATAAATTGAAACGTTGGCCAGCCACTACACTGCTCGCAAGGGAACACAAAGGAGGCTCAGAGAAAATCTTGAAACGTAAGAGTGCACCAGAGAACAGACACCTCCACTATACTATATACATACAGAATACTTTTCGGGAGTGAACATTGTCATTATATAACTGGCACCTCAGAGCAAAAATCCAAAAGTAGAAATTGCATTCTGAAAACCGAGAGCGAAATATTTTGTTTGTGCGGACTGTACTACTACCCTATCTAGACTGCTGTTGGGTGGAAATGCATGAAGGCTGGTGTGCAGAAAGAAATAGCTAAACACGGAAAAAGAAGGATTCAGAAAATTAGAATGAGGTCGAGGGGGGGCTTAAGAAAGCTAAAAGACTGTATGAGAAAGATATTTTGAGCTTACGGGATCGCACGTGGACCCAAATAAACAAATTCAGAGATCCAACGGACAACCTCTTCTTGATAGGCAGCAAGGCAGGCGTCAGAAGTCGGATAGCCGTCGGGTGCGAGTTTATAGGATGCCAAATCTGTTATGATTGGTGGGAGTTTTCCATCGTCGTAAAGTGTGTAGTCAGTCGAAATTCTAAACCAAAAAGACCAAGCTACCGAGTTCTTGTATTGTTCTGGAGAACATAGAAGAACAAGATCAATTAACCCCGCAAAGATTCCCGGGGTTTTAAAATACGGGTTAAAATATAATACAGTGACTTACCTTGGAAAGATTGCTGGAAAATAGTACCGCTTCAGCTGTTCAAATAGGAACCAGAAGCACATGGGCCTTTGGTCAAAATTCGGGTTAGTCCACTTCACTTTATCGATCTCGGTCACGGTAAATCGAAGAAGGTAGCGCAGAAGCTGTGTGTTTTGATCCTTCACCTTCGACATAATGCAAAGTAAGGTGGTGAATTGTGTTGTTAATAACATGTTCGATACTATATTGGCAAGGGTGCATACTAATTGCCAACTTAAGTCGCAAATCGGAGAAAATAACGTCAGATGACAGGATGAAAGAGGTAGATTACGTACAACCCCTGTGCAAGGCACTCATGATCGAAATAGCGGGCAAACGAAATGAGCAAGGTATTGGGGTCTAATTGTTGAAGACGAAAAGAGGAAAATGTAAAAAGCAAAGTCAGGCAAAGGTTTTAAATAAGTTTAATGATAAGAGACCCCAGGTAATCTAAAAAACATGCACAACTATGTAGGCGAATGAACTGTTTTGACAGCTGTTTTCCGAAGCCCTAAACTTCTGAGGAAAAAATATGGTAAACAGCCTAATCAGATTTCAAAGTCGATACTTCAGGATTTCTAGTAATGTTGATAAATCAAAACATAGCATACTACGACTCAGCGTCAGTGGAAAAACGAAAGTCAGGACGGGAAGCAACAACGCTAGACAAACTCCGTGGAAATATGAATGACCTGCGCCCTCAAACTAGTGCAGAATAAAGACAACTACGCTTCTTAACCAAACCACTTTTAAAATAGTACGAGCAAAAAGAAATCGGCAGGGAAGCGATTACGCATGGGTACTTTGTACCCAATTCGAAGAGTGAATTCAGACAACGAGTGGTTATGTGGCAACTAAAACTTACGTCATCGGTGCTGCCCGGCGACAAGATTTGCGTTGGTTCCTGAAAACTTGCGCCAGAAGAGAAAGTCTGACGCTGTGTTGGAAGCGCTTTGTCCAACTTTTGTGGAGCTAGTTTAAAAATTATTACTAGAAAATACAGCTCTACCTTTTGCTCTCCTATAGAAATCGTGGACTGCACCGATCTCCGGTATAAGATGTATAAAGAGATCTCTGCATTCTTCAGTAGCATTGTTTCCAAGAATTTGATACCATATTAAGAAAATTCGAACGCCGTATACTTGCAACTGGAAAACGTTCTTAGGATGAAGAAGGTCGCGCATTATTCCGACTAAAGATATTATTCTTGAGTGCGGACTCACAAATGCACGTATACTGCCAGTGTGAACGAACAAGCTCCGGCAAATAGGCCAGAATCCGCTAAAAAGGATGTTCGTGAGAGTGCAAAAGGTCACCTCCAAAATAAACAGGTGGTTTTCTAGGTCCTTTGTGTGAGCAAAAGAACCTATTTACTAAGGGAAAAGAAATTCAATTACATTTCGGCCGAACTTCTGAGTCGAACGAATCGAAGAAGGTGCAAAAAATCTGGGAATGGTAATCTGAAAAAAATTTTTGGATCTGTGATGTCGGCAAATTTTCTAGAAAGATGAGGGGACAAGAAATGTTCTTACTGACTAAGTTTTTTAAATGTTTGATACGCTGTGGAATGTCTTTGTGAGCGAAGAATTTCCTAACAGACTTTTCGGCTGCGGTCTCCGACTTCTTATTCCGACGAAACATTTTCGGAAAGCGCTATCATCAATTGACATATTAAAACTTTCGATTTCAAGACTGTGAATATTTGGTCGACATACGTGCTATGTGTTTGAAGTTTGGACCAGCAGAGACCTGTGGTAAGGTTCAGATTTGGAAAATATAAAACGATTCTCCTTGATAAATGCAGGATGATTAGGACATTAGTAAGGCCGAAGCTAAAATGGCCATTTATAAGACAAACTCTTATTAGGATCTTAGGTACGAGCATGCAGAAGTCTGGGTAGGCTTCACTCCTGTCTAAGAATCCATGAAGTTGCCAGACTTCGCCGGACTACTCTCGAAATATTAAAAAAAGTATTGCTGTATGCCGAGCGACCAGTCCGGTAATGGTGATTACTCAAGTCCTTCGAAGGGCACGTAAAAATAGCAATAGTAATAATTCTGCTTTTAAGCTTCCACGGGCACTTTCTAGATAGATGCAATACTGCGTATTTTTGGTAAGTGCGGAGACTGTAGACAATTATGGTTTGCGTGAGCTTCCAGATGTACAGTGCAATTAGTAAATTTTGCCATGTAAAGACGGAAACGGTTTTCACGATCGCCGGCGGTTTTTTCTTTCGCATACGGTACCCCTTAAAATACTATTATCTACAAACTGCAGGTTCGGAATTATTTTAGAAAAAACGGTTGGCTACAAACGAAGCAGGGGAAGAAGATAAATTCTGAAATTAAACGTGTGTCTGAGAGAGAGTGGGGGATGGTTCATGGAACCGTTACCTTCAAAAAAATATTCAAAAGGAAAAAGCTGATTCATTAGGGATACAGAGGGCAGGGAAGGTTCTTTCTGAAGATTGGGCAAAACCATAAAGACAACTCACTAAAGCAGACCGAAGCGTCATTATGTTGCGCTTGCCAGTGCTAGGTGGTAAGGACCTAGGGTGAGACAGCGGCACACCAGTGAACAGAGTGCAGTCGTGACATGGATTAGCGGCGACCGATGGGGAGGCTGTTTAGAGCCTTTTCGTCAGTATGACCCCGATTACTTTTCTGAGATTTGGGCTAGGGTGGACATCGTGTTTTGCGAAGAACAGGATGCATGCACGTAAAAAATTGAAATTTACGTTGAAAGAAGCGAAGCCCCACATGAAGTGAAAAATGCGAGCGTTAAGGTGATTCGGTGGATACGTCCTTAATTCCTAGTAGTATTTTTCCAAATTCATAGAACAAGCTGCCCTGAAGGATGAGAAAAATAAGTGCCTAACCGAGCCAGGGGCAAGATGAGGGCGCAGTGTTCTCCTAAGTGTATATAGACCGTCTGATGAGGTAATATTGATTGGTAGTTTGTTCCAAAGAAATGTATTCCTGCAAACAGATGAGAGTGAGCGTTCAAAGGTGAAGGAGGCGGGAGAAGGTACAACCAAGGAAAACTTGAGAAAGTTGTAGAGACTGAAATCCCAGAAATATTTGAAATATTATTAATGCGGAAAAAAGTACAGGAGCCGGCTTCTAGTCTTAGGGCCCATAAAAACTTGAGGTTATTTACCTGGCATCTATCTGGGTAGGAAGCTTTTGGATGTGTCGTCCTTACGAGTCTTCTAGTAAAATTCCTTTGAAGATTTTCAATTTAAGAACGACTAGCCTTGTTCACTAAACCAACGAATGGGCAGTGATATTCGAGAATAGGGCTGAAAACCATTCGATAAAATCCTACTTTAACTTCGGTAAGGTATAAATTATTGGAAATAAAGCCACAAGTCATTGTAAATTTGGCCGTATTTCAGTTGGCGTGCGTCGAGACATCTAGATAGTCAGTAAAAGTTAATCCTAAGTTCTCGATAGTTGAATATTTTGTGAAAGGAATGCATTAAAATATTATTGGTTGGGGTGGCATATCAGACCTGAAACACGTGCAGCAGTATCCGGGAGAAGAAAATTACATTAGCCTTGTTGAAATCTACGCAGAAAAAGCAAGCATGACAGTATGGATTTGTCTCAAACAGTGTTAAATCGCACATCTGAGGAAGGAACATACGCATTTGAGATCTTTAGCGTAAATGAAAGACTGAGTGCTTAACTGCCGACGAACTATCGTTAGTGCAATGCAAAACTAAGGGGGACCTAAATCGGTATTCTGGAGGACACCGCTTACGATAAGGTGCTAATTTAAAATGACGACCGCATTGAGGCCTTTTGTTTCCGATAAGATAAGTTTGACTTGAATAAGTCAATACTATTGACTGTTGATTTCTAGAGCATCCATTTGAACTAAGCATCGTCTATGAGACACGGTCCAGTCAATGTCGAGGCGCGCTGCCCAATTTTAGAGGTAAGGGAAGCTTTGCCTTAACAACTATATTCATAGGCTATTAATGTGTATTCTGACTGATTCCTTCTTAAAAAGTCACGTCGGCAAACATGTGTTTTCGGTTATCCTTCGGCAGGCCAATACAGTTACACGATGGAATGAAAATGTACAAAATTAACTGTGTTTATAGGTGTCTCAAGGGCTACGAAGTCATTAACACTCACCTTTCCCACGCCGCCCTTATAACGAGGTCGGCGGGTTCTGGTCCTTAGAGCTAGGGGAGAGAGGTAAGAGCGTCTCTAACTGATGTTCGTGGATTGAGTACACGGGGTACCTATCAGTGTAATAAAGGAATTTGAGGCGGTATGTCGTCATCAATTGAGATTGGCGTTGGCCACTGCAGACAGCGCTTGTGTCAGCGTTTTCCGACAGCATAACACCTGATTCGCTAGCCGTAAGGCCATTGCCTCGACTGTTATTAGTATCCCTTAGGATGGACCTTTGGAGAAGCTTGTTGGTGTCCGATAGCAAACTGAAATGCTTGCTTGGCGTAGACTCGGTGATCCGTATCGTTTAAATATGCGAGAATGGAAGTCGAAATCAGTCGGTCTCACCTCCGTCCAGCCAGGTGGGCATATGTTCCCGCACCCTTTTTACCAGATGTCTCGTTCTGGGGTCGAGGTATTCCGCTCCACAGGAGCAGGTGAATGAATAGATGCACACTGATGTGGCCTCCAAGGGTAGTTTGTCTTTACCTCCCAAACGTAGGAAGGGAGAGTTTGTAAAACATGCGCGTGAATTCGCCGTGGGTGATGCTCTCGTGATAGCTGTAGTTAAGCGCCGTCTGACTAGTTCGCTCTCTGCGTCTCCTGAAAAAGGCACTCTCATGGATAAATCTTTTTTTTCTGCAGTCGCAACAGTGGACTTTGCAATGTGTTCCCCAATATTTCGGAGGATAAACCGATCTGTCTATCCGTTCTCGCGAATTGTTTCCCGCAGCTGTTGGAGATCTGCTTCAATATCATCAGGTGAGCAGATGCGCCTCACTCCAGCTGCCAAGATCTGGATTAGATTTCGTTTGACATTTAGGGGAACAAAACTGTGGAAATAAATATATTGTCCCGTCCAGGTTTTCCTTCAGAACACCCTGCGATGGGCAGACCCATCTTCCTGCCTGCACAGAAGGACATCGGGGAACGCAATCTCGTTATCTGCCTCAGACTTGGCAGTGAACATCAAGGAGGGGCGCGTACTGTTGAACTTTTGGACAAGGTCGTCGATATCGCTTGTACCATCCGCTAGGCTGAAGATATCGTCCGCGTACCGATCGTAGAAGACGAGGTCATTAATGGCATCTTGTAATCTTGTCTTCTCGAGTTAACCCGTAAAAACATTTGTAAGAAACGGTCAAAGAGTTGAGCCCATCGCCACGCAATCTATCCGTCTGTATGGTTGACCATTGCACAGAAACTGGAGATTTTGTATGCAAAGCATCAGTAGTTCCTTTAGTACTTTTGCTAGCATGCCTATAGTGCAGTTCGTATCACGAATAACGTCACAAAGATAGTTTATTGTTCCTGCACGGGTACGTCGGTAGACATCGATGATACATCCAGTGATAACCTCCTCCGTCCGCCAACGTTAATATTTTTGATAGCTTCAACGAACGCAATAGAGTTTTTCAAACTTTGAGGATACAGATGACCTTGCAGTGGCTTTAGTCTATCCACTAACCATTTTTCAACGGTGTGATAGGGCAAATTCGTCAAATTCAAGATTGGACGTAGTGGGAGCCCATGTCTGTGGATTTTATGAAGGCCGTACGTTCTTGGTATTTTCATGCCCACCGGCCTCAGTCGTTCATAATCTTTACTAGACAAGTGGCCTTCTTTGTAGAGATCTTTGAGAATAGTCGTCATTTGACCCTCGACACCCTCTGTGATATCCTTTTCCTTCTCGGATTTCGAGAACTTGGAACGATCTGACAGTATTTCCTCTAGTTTCGCCACATAATCCGTTATATTCATTACTACTACTCCTGGACCCTTATCCGGTCTGGTTAGCACAATGTCTTTGTTTTTGCGAAGTTCCCTGAGCCTATCGATATGACCCCTTGTCAAGGGACCCTTGTTTATCGTGGCCTTTCTTAGGTACTGTTGGCGGCAGTTAACTAAAGTCGACTCAAGACAATCAACTTCTTTATGATCGCTAGGTTTTAAATCTGTAGTCTGACTAAAGAGACTCTCGAATTGGATTTATAGCTCTAGTTGTTTTGACATCCGCCGCGCAATACAAGAGCTAAAACCTCTACGCGAGCTTTGTCAAGACGTACTGAAGAATAGTTATGTATGTACCGTTCCGGATTATTCGGAAGGACCGTTTGAGCCTTTACTGACTGAACGCTTCGTAGGAGCTTAGTCCGCCTGGCCTCCATTCCTTTACTTCTGACTGCCTCTGCATAGTCTTGAAATACCAGTTCCTAGCGGTTTTAAGGCGGTCAAGGGCCACTGCTCTCTGACATAATTTCCGGTGGAGTTCTTTTATTCCGGCATTAACTGTCTTTAGGTGGCTTTCTGCATGTCGTTTTAGTGATTTTGAAGTTGCGGCGAAATGATTCCTCCGCGGGTATTCCAGTGGTATTTAGGATATTCACCCCGCTCAGTACATCCTGATAAGAATATGCTCGTCACATGCGCCTCCACAAGTCTGGTGTTAAACT